CTGTTCCGGTGAAAATGGTGATCTGATCTAGAGCCAGTGTTTGGTTTGTCCCTTCTGGGCTGCTGTAGAAACATGGACTCCATGGAAAGCTCATTCTAAAGCTAACACAACGATTCTTATTTGTAGGTGATTATACACTAAACCTGGACCTTTTTAATGTAATATTTAACATTTACTCATTTAAATGTCACATATTCATAAAATCATAAACAGGGTCTAATGTTTATGATTTTATTTTGTGATATGTTATATATTTAGTTGCATTGTGTACTTACTGGTGATAGACTGATTGTTCACAAGGACTAACATGAATGTTATTTTATCAGATAGTTCAAAATAGATAAATAATCAAGTATGAGTAAGTACCTTTTATTTGTTGATTGTATAATTGAATATGTAATAAGAAATTTTCCATGTAGTCATTTTATATAAACTATTTATCAAATTTACAGAATATGTGCTATATCATTATCTGAATATGAAGATTTTGCCCCACAGTGTCACTTTGTAACTCTTCAGTACATTGGGAGCGACAATAAAAAACAGGACCAGAGCTGAAAGACTGAAAGGGAACACTTTTTATCAGAGTGTATGTACATGGAACCAATACAGATATTCCTTCATATCCATTATACTTTATTTCTAGTTTGAATTGCATTCATAATGGTCTTAAAAAATCTTAAATTCATCCAGTAAGTAATTGGTACTTTTAATTGATTTAGAAGAGCCTCGATAGCAGCATCTGTCTTTAGTAGTTGCCGTTGGTATTACTTCTCTTTGGTTGATAACATCATTATTCCTGCCTGCGGTGCTCATTGGATTGGATTTTTCAACTGAGAAACCGCTGTTTGATGTCATTATGCCAGACCAGAATCAGTTAACTTGGTGGAGTGGGTGGATTCAGAGGCCCAGACCCAAGCAGCTAGACTTTTAATTCAGCTACATAAATCACAGAGTGGGACTAATTACTGAATGAATGAATGTATCTATTCATTATAAAGTAGAGTAACATCTAACGTGTGTTTCCTTTGCTGTGGGGCCAGTCATAACCAGCTGAGATCACTGCCAGTGGAGGTGTGTACTCTAAAAAACCTCTGCAGCCTCACACTCAAGCAAAACCTGCTGGAGAGCCTGCCAGAGGAACTAGGACAACTGGAGAACCTGACTGAGCTGGTAACTAACACATACTGTATGTAGCATATTACACTCCCACCAGACTCTTCCAACTGTGATGTGTGACTGGCTGACAAAGGTGTCCTTTGCTGTGTTTGGTTTAAGGACCTGTCCAACAACCATCTGAACGACCTTCCCTCCAGTCTAGGCCGTCTTATCTGTCTGCAGAAACTCAACCTGTGTTACAACAAGCTGAGCTGTCTGCCTGACAGCCTGGCCCAGCTCACAAGTCAGTCAGTTTTTTTACATGGCTGCTTTTGACGTACCATTAATGATCAAATAGTGGCTTTAATTTACCCCTACAGTAGAAAGAACCAGGCCTTAATTGAAATATGCTTATTATTATAGGAAGAATTTATTTTTTTATTTATTAGGGCCAGAGCACCACCCGGTATGAAAGCGCTGTTATATGAAAGGAATTATTATTATCTTTAACATCAATCACATTTTTGAGGGGCTAAAGTTATCATGTCCAGACTTAGAAAAGAGTCACTTTGAGCCATACCCTCAAGCCAACAGAAAATCTGCCATTTTTAATGTAGTGGTCATTTTTGGCATTTTACATTGTACTTTAACAAACTCTTCCTAGAGAATGAATCAGATTGACTTGAAATTAGCCCAGTCATACTTGGATACACTCCTCCTAGAGGGTTGAGCAGGTCCACCTCAAATGGGGTCATTACCCACTATTTATAGGTTATGTTTCAGTATGTTATTACAAAAATGTAAAATTATCAGTATCAGCCATGAGAAGCAGCTTATCTGTCATTTTATCGGCTGAAAATAAATCCCTACAAGAAAGTAGTTTGACCTCAGTTGGTTAAGAAAAAATGTAAAAAGTGCTGTTGGTTAAAGTGCTTGACAAACTCAATTTAATAAATAAATTAAAAAACTGCAGCATTTAAATGTTTATTTAGAATTTGAATGTCAATGTTATGAATAAAGCAGAGCAGATTACTACTCCCTTGCTTCAAACTTCCCTTCCAAGTGAAAATTAGAAACTAGGGTGGCCACAAAACGTGTGAAAAACATGAATGTATGTAGAGCCACTGTTCTGCATAGGTCTCCATTTAAAGTGACCTGCAGCGTCTGTAGATGTAGAAAGGCACAGAAGAAGAAAAAAAGTAGGTGTGAGACACTTAAAAGTCTCGTATTTCCTTCTTTGAAAAAAAAAAAAAAATGACTTGCTGCCTGTTTGCTAACTTGATTTACAGATGTTAAGCTGTTGGACTGCAGCAATAACCAGCTGACTGACATTCCTGCCAGCCTATCAGAGATGCTCGCTATGGAGCAGCTCTACCTCAGGCACAACAAGCTCTGCCTCCTCCCAAAGCTCCCTGCGCCCGTGCTGAAGGTAATCCTAGCAACAGTTCAGTTCAGTTTTATCTGAATAGCACCAAATCATAAAAAAAGTTATCTCAGGACACTTTTCATATAAAGCAAGAGAGTAGTTTTCTAGTGGGGTAATAGGGTACTATGAACTCAAGGTACGAAGGTGTCTGCCAGTGAAGAGCTTTGTAGGTGAGGAGGAGGATTTTAAATTCTATTCAAGAATTTCACAGGGAGCCAATGCAGAGAAGCTAATACATGAGAAGTCCCTCCTAAATGTCACACACTGGACCTCTAAAAGTAGTTCGTATATTATGGCTTCAAGAAATGTAATTTTGCATATATGTTCATCTGTGTGTGTATGTGTGTAGGAATTGTACGTTGGGAACAACCAGATTGAGCAGTTGGATCCGGAACAGCTGGCCTGCCTGACAGCCATCTCTCTTCTAGAACTACGAGACAACAAGATCAAAACCCTTCCTGAAGAGATCACCTTACTGAGCACACTCACACGCCTTGACCTTACCAACAATGACATTACCACGTATGTTACTGGACACCATGACACCATGACTACCTAAAGCAGAAAACAGCCAAACTCACACCATGATTGAAATATCCAGTCAGTAACAAATATGTTCACAGCGATTTCACAGGGTGGATTTTAGACATTTACGTACATATGCACTACACTATTTATATTTTTATATTACAAATTATTTCAGCATGATGGGACATGTAACCATGCAGGCCCACTGCATTGGTATAAGATAACAGCTAGTATAGCTGAGTCTTCCAGATCAGTCATTAGCAGCTGAGACTTAAATATCTACCTCTAGATACTGTCATCACCTGAGTACCAGGTACCAGGTATTTTCATGTGAATTGTATTGTTTTCTGTCAGTCTTCCAGCTTCTCTCAGCCTGCTGCCCAATCTGAAGGTGTTACTGTTGGAGGGAAACCCTTTACGAGGAATCAGGAGAGACCTGCTCACTGTAGGTGACACACTGAGGACAAACACACAGCATGGATGGTAAAACTGATGGGTGAAGATAATGCAGTGGTAGTACAGCCTGTACAAATACTAGCTGAAATCACAGTTGCTGAAGACAATTGTTTTTCACTTTCCTAAGAAGTAGATGCCGCAGTGCAGGGTTTTAGAGACTGACTGAAAATTAGTGAACTTTTGAAAATATACCTTTTCTATGAATAGAATATTTAAGTTAACTAATATAGCATGTACATTGTCAACCAACTCTAGTTGACATTGCTGAATATAGTACCACAAGCATTTTTTTCTGCATGATATACCAAAAAAAGTTTTCAAATCAGCGCTGATCGGATAACATAAAAGCCACTACTGATATGTATTGTATGTACTGTATGTACATATCAGTATGTATCTAATAGTCGACCAAACCATTAGTCGATGAGAAGAGTCTTAGTCGCATACTTTTTATTAGTCTGATAGTCACAGAAAAACAACATGAAACTCTGTTTGGGAGCTGCACCTTGTCAACGGGACGAAAGTATCAGGATTGTAACGCTGGAAGTCTCCTACCAATGCACTGCTACATGTGTTAACTGTATTAGCTGCTGCCACTTACTAATTAGCGATCCTGTTAGCTGACCGTACCCAGGCTGTGAGCTTGAAGTACCATGAGAGTTTTTTACACCACTAGCACAGGACCTTTGACTGCAGGGAGGAGTAGGAGTGCAGGGCCAGAATGAGTACTATAGCCAAAGTTGGGCAAGCAGCAAGCGGTCAGGGATAGCCCTAGACTATACACTTAACTGTTCGCTAAATCATTAAGATGAAACACATTTGCCATTAAAGACTGCGGTCTTCTCTGTAAGATTCTATCATACAGCTTCTTATTTAAGAAAAGTTACTATTTGACAGCTTTAAAATGCAATGTTTGTCACAAATCCCTTCAATAGTCAGACATTGCACATTGCATTTTAATAGAAGTAAACCTATAGGATCAGATTTGTGTCAATAAAATCGAACAAAACTTCTTAAAAAGAAGTAGAATTTGAGAAATACGTTCAGGGGAGTAAAACAGTTTTGGTGGATAAAATGTCTGGTACACACACAACATACATCATCAGTACTTAATTACAAAAATCATTTATTTGCAAGTTGAAAATTTCAATGTTTTAATTTCTCTCTCAAATTTTTTTTTGTTTGATTACACTGGCACAAATCTGATTTTATACAAACTAGAAATGATAACGGTTCACTGCAGCTGTAGTAGTCGAGAAGTTTTGAGATGGAATTTCAGTGACATAGTTCCATGCAAAATTATAATGTTCTCACTGCTTCACTAGAGCAAACATTAATACTAATATTCAAACTTCTTACACTCCTCCTATGTTGTCCTCATCACAGAAAGGAACCAATGAGCTTCTGAAATATTTAAGAGGACGAATTAAAGGTACAGTTCACTTTTCTTTTTTTGCTGACTTGAAATAGTTTTGTCCACTGCACCTAAAAGGGCTGAAATGGTTCCAGTAAAGTGATGTTCACCACCATTGATCAGTGGCCTTGTGTGAGTCATGTTAAAGACTTTTCATTGGCTTGCAATGGGCAATAAAGTTTTCCTGAATTCAATTTTAAATGTTTCATCAAAGGTCACTAACCAAAAAATTCGGAATGATTTCTTGACCAGTTAGTCCGAATGTCTGTTTCACAGCAGCAACAACAGAAAACATTTCACTAACTAGCTTTTTCTGAGCTTTTAACCACATCTCAAGGTGTTTATCAGTGATGAGAGGATGATGAGAATCCTACCTTCTGACCAGGACACACATTGTTAAATCAACAGGGACTGCCATAAGCATCCCAGTGTGAGAAGCCATTGTGAAGCAGGAATATCAGAACATCTAACCAACACTTACTAAAAAGCGTTCAATAGCTTAAGATCTCTACTGGTATACCCTTAAACAGGACTGACTCACACTACCTCTGCTGCTGGCTACCATGGTTAAAATGCAGAGTTAAACTGTCTAAAGTTTGACTGTTTTTCACTTAAAAGGATTCCAACACTGAGCAGGATATTCCACAAAATGATTTCATGTAAAGGGGGGGAAACCTCTGCCGATGTACGGGTTACACCTTAAAGCAGAGAGATGCACCTTGCTTTACTGCCAGTTTGATCCCAGGCCAAATACATTAGTCGCAGTGTGGGTGTCCCTGGTACCCGAGATGGGGCTCATACATACAACACTACCTAACAAGACTAATAAATACTAATAAAAACACTCATAATGACCAGCCGTTTATTTCTACAATGGGAAAAGAATTAATGAAGTTTGAAGTCATAGTTCGTTGAATAACAACCCAAAATGCATTTTGCTTTTTTTGTACCATAACTTATTTAGTATTGAATTGTTGTAGTTGAGTAAGGTTGTATTTTTTATGTAAATTTGTTAAATGTTTAGAATGTATTTCAAGACAAGACTGTGAGACAGCTGCGATTGTGCTGCTTGTTTTTTTATTTTTTCTACAACAACATAATAATTTTCACAATCGAATGTCCAATCATTTTCACAATCGAAAGTCCGTTATTTTTTGCAATTTGATTATATAATCTAATTTTTATAATACCTTATAGTTACAATAATATACTTCTCACGTTATAACATGATATTAAACCATTTTTCTTTTTCTTGCATAGCAGCTATATGTTGCCGTAAAATACAGTGTGAATTATTTTCTCATGATATGTTTCATGCTGGTCTCCCATACTTATTTGTGTGTGTGTGTGTCTGTGTGTCTGTGTCTGTGTGTGGTTTGGTTTGCAGAGGAGCCTGACGGAGCAGATGAAGGACCTACAGCCCTGACGTTACCCAGCCAGGCCACTATCAATGTACATCACATTAAAACACTGAAGTTTTTGGTGTACAGGTTAGTGATACACAGTTCGGTCTGTATTTTCAAGAAAAATGGTGGCACCAAAATAATCTTTTCATGTGTTACTCTTTTGGTTACATTTATTTGCAACCAGTAGACTGACAAATCTGGTGACTCACTTCATCAAAGCATGGTGATACACACTTGTCAGTTCATTACTTGGACATAATATAATGGTAGTATTTGTATTTGCTGTGTAATTGTTAACAGTAGCCTCTCATACAGCTGCCGTATTGGTCTTGTCACATGAAGCAGCTGATCCTGTCAAACTTCTTTTTATTGATGTTCCCAGATCTCAGTAATTACCTTTGTGACTGCAGTTAGTCCATGTTGTAATAAGCTGCAATGATACATGGTTGGATATTAGTCTTCATTGGTGTCAGCACTAAGGCAAATGTCACATTACAGTCATTTGATTCAGTGTTTATATCAAAATGTAGCTCAAGGTTTGAGAAATTAGTTGTTGTTAGTTACACTCTAGTTACTCAACGAGTTAGAGTAACTCGACTGTAACTTTGTATGTTTTTGTGTTTAGTGAGAAGCAGGCATTGAATATTCCAGATGAGCTGTTTGATGCTGCAGCAGATCAACTCATTACCACAGTTAACTTCAGCAAGAACCAGCTGACCGCCATACCTCCCAGGTACACAAACAAACACACACACAC